CCCCAAAACCCCAAAACCCCAAAACCCCAAAACCCCAGCTAACACCCCATATATTGCAAAATAAAATTAAATCTTGCTATAAATAATATGAATATTGTTGTAAAGGAACCGCCAGCTGAGGAAGAGACCTCTAAGCACAATGAAGGCTCAGATACTAAGAATACTGCTCAGGAGAAAGAAGAGACTAAAGAATCATCTCCTCAGGAATCTTCAGAAGAAGATTCTGACTCTCAGAGAAACATTTGGAAGGTTATCGCAGTCGTGAGCGTCTTATTTTATTTCGTATATCGTCATATATGGAAGAACGAAAACCAGTTCCCAAAAGTGCTTGTGCTGTCGATAGGAGTAGAGATCACTCTGATCATGATGGTGGTGTATCCAAAATGGAAATCCAATGATCTCCAAAAAGTATTTGGGGATTCATCTGTTCAACTCATGATGGTCACCCTCTTGATTACTATGGTATTTGACTTATGCGGCATCTTCCAAATAGTTTTTGGAGGAGTCAATGTGCTTATTTTACTAGCTAGGATCTCAAGAGTTGCTTTGTATTATGTACTTCTGACTAACTTTGAATCAGAGAAGGCTGAACAGAAGAGACAAAAGATTCGCGATGAAATAGATCGTATTAAGAACCAAAGTGACCTCAATTCTATTCTTCAAACATTAGAAGAAAAGTGTGAGAACAAGGATGAGGTTATTAAAGCCAGTATTGAGAAAGGAATAGAAGTCCATAAAGAGAGCTTGAGAAAGAAAAAGGCAAGAAATGGCTTATTGAAAGCCAGTTTTATGAGAGATGATACAGATACTGACCCAATGAAGATAAACGAAGTTAAACTCTCAGACGTAAATGACATTGTAGAAGCTATTGATTCTAACCCAGAAAAATTCTTCTACGAAGATTTTGATTTCATTACAATGGAGGATCAATATGACTTAAAGATGGTACTTGATTCAAGTCAAGATCTTGAATTTGATGTATTTGATCTTCAGGCAAAATCTGAAAACAATGAACTTTATGTATTTGGAATGTACATAATGACAAAAGATTCATATCTTGAAGAGTTTAGAATCGACAAAAAGAAGCTCCAAAACTTTTTATACGCTATTCAAGAAAGCTATAATCCGGTGGCTTATCACAATAAGACCCATGCTACAGACTTATCTCAGACTCTATATTACTTCTTAGAGAACTGTGATGTAAAGGAAGTTTGTAATCTTAGTAGAATGGAGGAAATGTCAATGCTTCTAGCCGGTTTTATGCACGATTTAAATCATCCTGGATATACCAACTCTTTCTTGATCAACACTTCTTCTCCTCTTGCTCTGAGATATAACGACAAGTCTGTCCTCGAGAATTATCATGTTGCTATGGGATTTAAGATTATGAAAGGTTCAGAACAATGTGACATCTTTGATAGACTCTCAATGAGACAGAACAGAGAAATCAGGAAGTTTATGGTAGACCTTATTCTAGCCACTGATATGGCCAATCACTTCAATAAAATGTTTGCTCTTGAGCAAAGAGTCGCTCAAGATGATTTTGATACTTCTGGTATCGACAAAGAACTTTGCACAGAGTTTATTTTCCATATTTCAGATATTAGTAATACATCAAAGCCTTGGCCAGTCTGCAAAAAGTGGATAGATAAACTTTTCATAGAATTTTTCAACCAAGGAGACAAGGAAAAGGAGATTGGCTTAGAAATATCTTACTTGATGGACAGAAAAACAATCAATGTGGCTGAATCACAAGATGGATTCATTAAAAACATGATCAAACCTGCCTTTGAGATTCTTGACAAATTCCTTCCTAATCTCTCCCAAAACATAACGAATCTTGATGACAATGTTGAGAAATGGAAAAAGAAGGTTCCTCAGTACGCAATCGAAAAGCACTCTCACAAAGAAACTAAAAAATTAGCTGGAGAAGGATCTAAGAAATCAAGGTCGAGCATCAGAGGAGATATGGGCATGATAATTGAAGCTGAGAATGAACACGATGAATCCCACGGAGAATCTAAAAGAAAGAAATCAGCAAAGAAAGGCAACCAAGAGAAAAGTAAAGAGGAGATGGAATACCTTAGTGAAGACTCATATGTTCCTAGCGAGTATACTCCATACTTATCTGCCAGAAGAATGACTAGTTCAAAAGAATTTGGAGTAAGCCTTACTTTATTAATTTTAGATTTATCAAATTCCAAAGCTAATGGAGACTCTTACAAAGAAGCAAATGAGCGAAGTCGTAGAAAGAAAGGCAAAATAGTTAAGAATTTACTAGATTTTCAATACTAGGAATCCAACATGGGGTTTTGGGGTTTTGGGGTTTTGGGGTTTTGGGG